CACCCATTGCTTCTTTTACTGTTTTAAGAGCTTTACTTCTAACCAGTGCTCATTGCTTTGGAATGTTTGTACGAACCGCCCAGTGGGAAACCAAGGTGGATTTTTTAAAAATAAAATGAAAACTTAATGATATCTGAGGAAAAGGTAAAATAATTTCATATAATCGCATAAAATTGTTTAGATAGAAAGTAAACCTAAATGTAAAATATTTTTCATAAATGTTACTAAGATAGGATAATAGTTATAAAATAATAATAGTAATAATCATCATAAAAGAGTCTCTAAAAAACTACTCATATGGTTGCACATTCCTGTCAGAATCAGAGAATAATATCTCAAATTATTCTGTTAATTTCCAGAATACTCTAATTAAGAGTTTACAACTACCCATAATTTCCTATTTCATGTCTCCCTTGAACAGAACTGAACAAGAAATACATTCAACATACTCAAGGGACATGTATATTTGGTTATTGAAAAATACCCAGTTGGTTACAATAATTCACTCTGAGAAAGTTAAGTGTATAGGTTTATGGAAATTGGACGGTCGATGAACTGTCAAAATAACTTGATAACTGAGAAGTGCCCTGCAGGTACAATTATGGATCACATATTTTGTTGAGCTGGAATGAATTTATTAAGAACTCAGGGAGACATCAAGTTGAATGAATGCTTCAGCATTTCTTTTACTTTTTTAAGTTTGACTTTGGTCACAAGTGAGATTAGATTCTTCTCTTATAATATTGTAACAACTAGAAATATAAACTGTATCCTCAGTACTCTATTTCTGTTCAACACTGTGATTAAAAGAAAACAAAAGGTACAGAGTTCTAACAGGAGACCCAATGAGTAAATAGATATTTCTGCTAAAAAAGAAACCCCCAAATATAAGGGAAATGGCGGGGAGGGGGTGGGGAGAGAGAGAGAGAGAGAGAGAGAGAGGGAGAGGGAGAGAGAGAGAGAGAGGGAGAGAGAGAGAGAGAGAGAGAGAGAGAGAGAGAGAGAGAGAGAGAAACCAAAACAAACCAGTCCTTCAGGGATAAGCCTGCAGTTCTTTTTCTTCACATCCCACTACTCATAACACTCCTTAAGCTAACACAAGCTGTGAACTCTGGTGCCCTTTGAAAGAAAGGGAAAAGGTTGTGAACTTGAATTTGGAGCATATTTTTCTATAGTTGTATTTTGAATGAGAACAGCATCTTGCTTCATTTTTGTTCACAATCCTGAATTATGAAATGTGGATAACTTTGTAAGTTTTATAAAGAATTTTATCTTTCATAGTCTTATGTGAAAGATGTCAGCAAAACAAATTATTTGAAAATAAAATTTTCAAATATTTTCATTTACTTTGTTGCTATTTAAAAAAATTCATAGATATAAGCAGAGAAGGAAAGCTGATCCTCAGGATGCACTCCCCTCAATCCCCTTTCAGCACAAGACGAGAAGGGGGATTTGACAGAAACTCTTAGAAGAATATTTCAGTTGAAGCCACAGCATCAAGGGGAATCCTCCTGCAAATCGTTAACAGCTGAAGGTTAGATTAACACGGCATTGATCATACCCTCTCCGAGGGACTAATTTCACTTTCTATACCAACAACAGGGGCTTGATTGCAAGAAAAATGGTAGTATACCATTTGTTAATCCCTTTGTGAGGAATTATACTTTGGATAATAATTTGAAATAGGCATGTGGCCTCTGAAAAAAGAAGTTGGGGAAATCAAAGTGCAACCATGAACATGTTTTTCCACTTTGCCATTCATGTAATGGAAATGCTGTCTGCAGACTTTGAGGAAAAACAATGTTTATTTGAGGATCTCAATTTCGTTATTACATAAAAGTCAAAGTACCTTGAAGATTGGTAGCATACTTACCATACTGATGGAAAAGATATATGTGTATCTTTTCAAATCTTTATGTAAGGGAAAATATTCATCATAGACAAGATTGTACCTTGTTTACCAGCCTGTCGGACAGACCATGATATGTAATAAAAGCCCATCTGTCCTAAGAACCAGATTCTGGGCAGGCCTGCATCTGTTTTGCTCTTCTGGAATCCAGTAGGCAGACTTCCTAGTCAGAATCTAGTCCTGAAATTATAGACAGATATGTGTATTTATTGTAGTTAAATGCAGTGTATCATGTGCAGATAATCTGCCTTTCTATCAATTACTTGCATTTGTCACTATAAAAAATTAACTAAACAAAATATTGACTAAATCAATTTTTAAAAATCTATCTGAAACTTCTGAAATATCCTGCTACTGACTGAAATGCTAATGAGTGAAAAATAATTACGTCTTTCTTTTTTGTTGCTTGTTGAAGCAGAGCTCAGTTTCCAATCCTTCATTAGAAAATCGGGACTTCAATTTGTTACTTCCTTCCAATGTTTCTGCCTTCATAAATTGCATCCTCCCCAGAGAAATTTTATTCCTGATATAAATATCTACAGTATGTTTGTTTTTAATGGGTTCATTTATTCTGTTGAAACAGCAGATTATAAATCAAATTGCAATAGGTTGGAGGGATAATTTAAGTAGGTAAATTTTCAAGTGAGTTGGGGACACTCTACTTTTAATACACATGGGTCCCTGCCAATTTTTACTGTGGAGCTAGGTCTGCAATGTTGGACCAAAGGTATCTACAGTTTTACTGGCCATGGCTGCCATGGAATTTTCCACTCCTGACAGGAAAGTTTCAATTCATAAAACAAACAAAAAAAAAAATTTAAAGAGGAGGAAACTAAACTTCTTTGAGATACTTTTGACTCCTTGGGGTGGGACTAGAGAATAAAGGAAAATTGTGTTCTGCATTTTTACACTAGACTTTAGTAGCAGAGGCAATACTGTTTTTGGCAACGTGGACTTCTGACAAACAAGTACCTGTCATTTGGGATGATGACTTTAGTCAACAGTTATTCATTATCCTGAGTAAGAGATAAATTTATTTATGTAATGTTAATAATGGTATTTTATTATGAATATTTTTATTACCTTAGAAAATTATGAAACGAACACCCCATGCGAACAAAATACCTAAAAACTCTGCTGGTTTGTTAATTATTTTTGCTAGAGAGAATGCCCCCTTAACTTTTACATGTCCCCTTAACTTTTACCTTATAAACCTTATATTAAATAGACTTTGTTATTAATGGTGTGACTTCAGAGCTAGCTCTTAGACTATCCTTCCCAAATGATGAATGCAAAAGCTTCCTTGCACTTATTAGTCTGGCTTTGCGTACTTTTTCAGTAGAGTAATTGAATTACTTGAAGTAATTTACTTCTTGCAAAGTAAAAAATGTAGCACATTTACTTCTTCCAAATCTACCACACTGTGTTTACAAAAGTCTATGGTTTTGTGGTTGTTTTAAAAAGAAATTAAATTAAGTGATTGTTTCATAAATGTCATTTCACAGTAGGAAATAGCAGTACAAATGTCTGCCTGCAGAAGGTAGAGCTTGTGTTATGTATTTTGTTATTATTGAGCAAAAATCAATATTCCACTAGATGGAGCAAAAGTGGCAGTAGCTTTACAGATAGAGAGTGCAAGTTCCTGGGCCAGGTATAAGAGATTTAGAAATAAACAACACAGTTTCTCAGAAAAATCAATATATATATA